TGCAAAAACATTCATTCTGGCTCAGTCTAGACTTTATCCAGACTGTTGAACTTCAGTCTTTTGGCAGGAATGAAGGTCACTAACAGTCAGCTAGTTACCCAGCTTGATTAAATAAATATTGAGCATTTAGTATGTTTTAGAAGTAAACATAGTTTTTTGAAAGGAAGTTCTACCTGTTATTATATCATCTGTCTTTAAGAAAATTTCTAGGTTTTGAATCAATTTATTTTAAGATCTATGGTGCCTTTTTATGATAAGGAACATCTCAAATGGCTTGACATCGAGGTGTGAAAATTCATACCAAAAACAAGAAGAGGTGAGATCCAAAATAATTTACATGGGACAAACCACAACCATAATGAATGATTGTGGAAGTGATATGTGGGATCATAAATTACCACTTAATCATCAGACTTTCCCAAAGATCTTTTGAAGAGAAAAAAAAACAATCTACTATCTTGTAAATGATTTAAACTTTTGCTTCAAAATGGGAATAAAGTCCATGGATGAAAGGGAATAAGCAAAATAAAAAACAAAGCAATTGAGATGCAGGTCATGATTCTTGTTTGGGCAATATTTTCTTTGGACAAATCTCAATAGCTTCAGAGCAGGACTTTTACTTTTTAACACTGCTGTCTAATTTCAGTGTTGAAAACAGGAACGGTATTTCTACCAGATTGGCACAGGATGAGCAATGCAATAGGGGTATAAACTGAGCAGAGACAAGAAAAGAATCCTGACAGACTGACAGGTAAGATAAGAACACAGGAGAGAAGAACAAATGAGAGAAGGTTATTCGACTGATCTACTGTAACTTATTTGGTTGTGTGTGCCTATCAATGCATACTAACCAATAAACTATGAATATGTGCCAGCCAATAGCTAATACAGAAAATAACTTACCAATGTCAATAATCTGTCAACTCATGCTAACCAATAATGTATCAATAACCTATCAGGTTATTTTTGTTTTGGGTATTTCTCTAAACAGCTGTTCAGGTGAAGGAGAAGGACTAGCTGTTTGAAAAGCACTTGAAAGCACTTGAAAGAGCCTACAGGCCTGTGTTATGGTCGAGGATCACTATTGTTGGGCCACAGACAGTTACAAGAGTGTTACTGTAACTGACACACGGGACTTGGCTTTAAAAAGCTTTATGTTCACGGTGCAAGTAATACAAGTCTGGCCAAATACGTGGAACACTTGCTGATACACCTGGAAGAGGTGTTAGTGGGGCCAGCAGGGGGCGCTCACCCTGCGGTCCATGTGGGTCCTAATGCCCCAGTATAGTGACGGGGACACTATACTGTAAACAGGCGCCGTCCTTCGGATGAGATGTAAAACCGAGGTCCTGACTCTCTGTGGTCATTAAAAATCCCAGGGCGCTTCTCGAAAAGAGTAGGGGTGTAACCCCGGTGTCCTGGCCAAATTTCCAATTGGCCCTTACTAATCATGGCCTCCTAATAATCCCCCTCTATGAATTGGCTACATTACTCTGCTCTCCTCCCCACTGATAGCTGATGTGTGGTGAGCGTTCTGGCGCACTATGGCTGCCGTCGCATCATCCAGGTGGATGATGCACATTGGTGGTGGTGGAGGGGAGTCCCCATTACCTGTAAAGCGCTTTGAGTGGAGTGTCCAGAAAAGCGCTATATAAGTGTAAGCAATTATTATAATTATTATTATTATTACACGGTATGTTCATTCTTCTATTAGTGATAAACATTAACAAATGATATCAAGGATAAAACATGCTGCAGAATCAAATGTATCAGATAGTAGGGGTCTCCTTTTCCTTTTCTACAGCCAGCAGCCATATCACCCTGCAACTCACAACTGGCAACCCACTGAAGCTAAGCAGGTGTGAGCCTGGTCAGTACCTGGATGGAAGACCTCCTGGGAAAAACTAAGGTTGCTGCTGGAAGAGGTGTTAGTGGGGCCAGCAGGGGGCGCTCACCCTGCGGCTCATGTGGGTCCTAATGTCCCAGTATAGTGACAGGGACTACACTGTCCGTCCTTCGGATGAGACGTAAAACCGAGGTCTTGACTCTCTGTGGTCATGAAAAATTCCAGGGCGTTTCTTGAAAAGAGTAGAGGTGTACCCTGGCGTCCTGGCCAAATTTCCCGTTGGCCCTTACCAATCATGGCCTCCTAACAATCCCCCTCTATGAATTGGCTTCATTACTCTGCTCTCCTCCCCACTGATAGCTGATGTGTGCTGAGCGTTCTGGTGCATTAAGGCTGCTGTTGCATCATCCAGGAGGGGAGCCCCCATTACCTGTAAAGTGCTTTGAGTGGAGTGTCCAGAAAAGTGCTATATAAGTGTAAGTAATTATTATTATTATTATTTTCTGTATTATGATCAAATAATAAATCTTTCCCAAGCCATTACCGATACTATTATCCTTATATAATAGAATAATATAAAATATAAAGTACAAAAGGGCAGCATGGTGGTGCAGTGGCTGGTATTGCTGCCCTGCACTGCGAGACCCAGGGCCCCTGGGATGCCATCTGTGAGGGGTTTGTATGGTCTCCCTGTGCAATGGACATACACTTAGTTATGCATTTATTGGTGCATTTTAAATGAAGAACAGGCATCTCTTTACCCAGAGAGTTGTGGGATTATGGCATAAGCAACCAAACCATGATGTCTTCTTTAGACACATCTGAAGGAGATCCTCTAGTCAGGACTGGGGGCACAGATAGGGAAAAGCCACTAGGAATGTCAGTAGCGTGAAAATGAAATGACTTCTTAACAATAGAGGAGCGACAGCAGAAAATTTGATCCTAGGTACAGTGGACAATAGCACCAGCCTCGGCTGAGCCTATGGGATGGAATGTAAACTTGAAGGAATCCAGAGATATATGATGCAGCCATATTATTTGTAACCTTAAAAGTCAGTAACAAGATTTTATGAAGTTCAAGTAGGTAGCTGCCTCAGTATGCATAGGCTGCAAAGGAACAGGTAAAGGTTAATTCTACACTGAAAAGAAAAGAAAAGAGACACAAGGTTTCAGGTGTGAAGCCTTCTTTACATGAAGAACCTTTTCACTTGAAGAAGGCTCCACAGCCGAAACATTGTGTCTCTTAAGCATGGAATAAACCTTTATCTGTTCCAACAAGATCTTATATAAAATGTGATGTCAACCATCATGCTTGCAAGAGATAAGTGACTGGGGTTGGAGATCAAAGGGGGAAAAGTTTTAATGTAAATCTGAGTATTATCTGCATAAGAATTAAACCGAAGACCATTTTGGTACTGTATATAATCTGACTGAGAGTAAGCATGGAAATAAGAAGCACAAGACTGAACTCTGCAGCACACCTTGACTGACTGGGGCCATGGAGGAGTTATGAGGACCAGGGGAAACAGTTAGATAAGAGAAGTACCAGTTAAAAACAGTACCGCTGATAGACATGAATGTCCAAAAGCATTTGAACTACATTACAGTATCAAAAGCTGCACTAAGATCAAGAAGGATAAGAATACTTATAGCCAGAAGTCAGACACAACCATTTTATCCAGTATAGAGTCATGAGGAACACCAGGGCCTAACCCAGTAAGCAAAAAGCACAAGACAGGATACACACAGGATACACACAGGATACACCAGGGCCAGTTAGCCTATCAGTATGACTTTATAAACTGTGGGAGAATACTGAAGCACCTGGGGGAAACCCACACAAACATGGGGATAACTCCACACTGATAGCGCCCCAGGAACTGAACCCAGGGCCCCAGCACTGCGAGACTGATAACACCAAAAACAACAGAGAGTAATTTTTGAAAGTATTTTAAATGTGATGTCTATTAACATGTGTATCTATATAAAACAGAACCTCAGTTTGGTGATGCTTCCACTATACGTAGCTGTCCTACTGCAGATGAATGAGTTCAAAGTACCCCGGTGCTCCAGGGATACTGAGCCAGTATGTTACAATAGCATCATTTCCATCAAGGAGCAGGTGTACACAAATTAACACCTGGTTGTGACACAATGTTTCAAGGAAACCCGTCGTGAGAGCAATGAACTGTATGACCTTACAGAAATCCCCCAAAGTCAGCGCACAAGGAGCATTTAATTAAATGAAGTATGTGTGTGAGCATGCTGTAGGATTAGATTTCTATACCTTGAGTGCTTAAATATTTTCTCTCCCTTGCATGTATTCGCAAAACTATTGGCCACTTCGCAGGAGTATTTTCACTACTGTATTAAAGCATTTTACCACGATTTATGTTTCGAGTTTATGACTAAAAATAACTACTGTATTGAAAATATCTTTGCAGAGCTACTCAGTGATACTCAGAGTGTCATAACAAAGGAAGAACCGAGATGCTGGATTGCCAGAACAAAGGTATTCATTAGGTTTACGCTTCTCCTTATCTCCAGATTGAGTTCCAACGAAAATGGACTGTTTTACACCGAGGGGCGAAAAAAGGTGTGAATAGATATGCATTACAAACCAAATCGCACAAATAGCCTTTGTTATCTGCTTTGTACAATGGAGTGTAATTTGGAAATAATGTAAAATAAACATAGCCTTCGTGGCTAAAATAGTTAGTGAGCCTCAGCATGGCTAAACCAGTTATTTAATTCAAGAAGGTACTGTAGCTGCGTCAACATGCGTAGGCTCCAAAGGAACTAGTAAAGGTTTATTCCATGCTGAAAAGAGAAGAAAGGAAACACAACGTTTCGGCTGTGGAGCCGTCTTCGGGTGGAGAAGACCCCGAAGAACACGAGCCGAAACGTTATGTTTCCTTTCTTCTCTTTTCAGCATGGGATAAACCTTTACTTGTCCCTTTGCAGTTATTGAATTGCCGACCCCTGACAGCTGGCAGGTACAGTCCGCAGACACTCTTCCCCTGAACTCGGAGCGTGCATGGGCGGGGTCAGACGTCACATCATTAGGAACCAATAGGAAAGAAGGCGTGTAGGTATACCGGCCTCTGATTGGTCCAAAGTTTTTTCTACAGGCATGGTATGCATATAACAAAATAGCACGCAGGAGGATATCGAAAACAGTCAGGTTGAATCTTCCACGTCAGTGTTGTTCTTACAGCGATTTCCAAAAGCCTTTCACATTCTTTTAGCCTTAGGGTTTCCTCATTTTAAGATTTTTTTTTTTAGTTCAAAGTAGGGAATAAACTCTCTGCAGTTATGGTAGACAGCGTTTACAGGACCCGCTCCCTTGGTGTAGCTGCTGTCGGTCTACCTGATCAATATGCCGACGGCAAGGCGGCCAAAGTGTGGCAGCTGTACATCGGCGACACCCGGAGCAGAACGGACGAGTACAGAAGCTGGCTGCTGTCGCTGCTCAAAAAGCACGGCTGTCAGAGAGTGCTGGATGTCGCCTGCGGAACGGGGTATGGCCGTGAGTTACGACGAGCTAGTTTCCATGAAAATCCCTGTTCCCTGTCAGTCCGAAACTATTATTAAATCGGTCCTCCTAAAAAAACCCGTAAAAAAATATGAGCGGTGGGTTAGTTTTGAATCGATTCATCCAGTTCCCTTGCTGAAAATGTATTGGAGTGGTACACACTGTGTACGGTACTATAATAAACCACAGGAAACACGAAGCTGAGAATCCTTGGACTCTGTATGTATGAAGGTGACCAATTCGTGTCCCAGGCAATTACCCTAAGGCTGTATCAAGATCAACCGTATCATGGTTGGACAGCGGTACAGTAGACTGGTATGCTTCTGCGAATATGGGCCTGTTCATATAAAATATGATTGATATATTTGTTCTCCACCAAGATTTTGAATTATGTCCTTCGGATTTGTCTGTCTTGTCGTTTATGGTCATATTGACAGTGGGTTATGGCGAACAAAACTGCTAAACGCGTTGATTTGGCTGTCTCCTGTCTGATATTTGTTTATCTTTGTATCTGATCTGTTCCGCCCTACGTCAGCAGTGCTGAACAATATTCACCGCCATTTCTTTCGTTTGGTTCATTCTGTTTTTTTTTACTCAGGTGATTTTAACACACCTAACGGTTAACGGTTTTTTTTCCGGTAGAAAAACGTTGTCAACGTGTATTCTTGTATTCTTGCCTTGAAAAGGAAAAACAAACGTTAAAGCTTTCTTGAGGACCGTCTGCTTTTCTGCGTGGGTTGTCAGTGTTCCAGTATGTAGTAATATCACAACACTGCTGGGCTGAGACTGTTGCTGTCTGATCTCATCTGTGATCACCACTGCCCAGTCTGTTGAGCGCAAATAAGACACGTTCTCAACATCGATTTCACATGTACTGTATAAGATTAATAATTTTTGGTGTACTATGTTAAGTTTCATTTATAGAAACACAAGCAATGCTAACACTCCGTTAGTCCTGGAGCCCGCTATGGCATTGGAATGCACTGGGAACTTACCAGCAGTCTCGACAAGTGGGATGTGAATATATATAGAGACTTGGAATATAATACAGGCAACAGTGTCTGGTAGTTTTCGTTCCAGGACAGGGTGGAGCGGTGGCTCTGTGGCTAAGGATCTGCGCCTGTGACTGGAAGGTTGCTGGTTCAAATCCTGTGGATGGCAGAGGAATCCTACTCTGTTGGGCCCCTGAGCAAGGCCCTTAACCCTAACTGCTCCAGGGGTACTGTACAATGGCAGACCCTGCACTCTGACCCCAAGCTTCTCTCCCTGTCTGTGTCTCCATGGAGAAAAGCTGGGGGATGTGAAAAGACGAATTCCAAATGCATGAAATTGTATAGGGCTAATAAAGAAATATTATTATTACATCTCCTAACAACCCACATGCTCTGCTCAGCTGGACTGGTTTTGCCAGTTTTCCAGGTTCATGTGGTTTTGGTGACATAAGCAGACCTGCTGTATAAAACCCACTGGACAGTAGCCCGTCAAACCAGGGTTGGATGGCCCTGATCTGGGATTCTTAGGAGTTAAGGCCCTACAAAGAGCTGCTTCAGGATTTGTATCCTGGCATGGTGTAAAACGATCGGATTTCTCAGTTACTCCTTCTATAGTGCAGGTGCGGTGGTGTCATTTCTGAGGGTAGGTCACAGCAGAGCACCATGTTCCTTGTGCCATTTCTCACCTGTCACATCACTCGGTAATCTAGCAACAATTGGATGTGTTTGTTAAGAATAGCTCTGCAGTCTTGTTAAGGCACTTCAAAATGTAGATGGAAGACATTTCTTCAGGCTATCTAGTGATCCCACAGAGTGTGCGTGGTTGCTAGGCAGTATGTTTTAAGGCCCTGTGGTATTCTTAATGTAAAAGGCTACATGTTTGTTGCATCTCTTTGATGTACAGCACACAGCAGCAAAAGAGTACAGGCTGAAATGCTGTTGTGTAATGACTGTGAACCAGCAGCTCACCTGGATTGTTCTTGTGTTTATTTCAAAACGTAAAATGATGTTCATATCATTTAAGTGAGGCTGCAGTGGTGTATTTCTATAAATACTTCTCTTGACTTCTTTTGTAAAAGAGTGCTGGTGTTACAGTAGCTACAAGACCAGTACACCATTTAGTTATTCATTGAAAAAAATATTCAGTTTCCCATTAGAAAGCTGATGGGCTAGTGCTGTAAACTACCAGTTGGATAATTACAGAAAATCATGCTGAAAATGAATAGCGTTCTGTGGTCATAATTGTGTTGTTGGATGAGAAACTAGTTGTACACAAGGCACATACAGACCTCTAATGGGTTTAACAGGCTTATCATGCAGACGATTAATGTGTAGCTACACTTGCAGATTTTGCTTAGTTTCCCCGCCTACATTTAGATTCTTTGATAATTCTCCAATGATAGAATTGTTCTCTAACTGTTCAGTTTAATGAAATTAAACGGAATAGTCTAAAGGCGGATCAATGTGTGTGGCCAGGTGATGTTTCCTGGCAGGTTGTGAAAGTCCTGCAAGGAGAGAAATGCCTGGAGCCACGATGAAGCTCTTCCTGTCATTGTCTACTTTGCCATCCTCCTGGTGCAAGGAAAGGCAAGAGTGGTGTGTGTTTACAGGTGAAGGAGCAGGCATGAAATCTTAGGACTTAAGAACCCAGCTACAACATGAGACTAGTCCGGGGATAAACGTGGAAAGTCCAGCTCTCTTTATTTTGTAGCTGCTACTCTGAATATACATAGATATTCAGTTAATTTGGCAAATGTCCCACTCTGTTGTATTGGCCATCAGGCAAAATCACAGTGGAAGCATTGCTCTTATCATTAGACCTCTCTAGTATTTGAGGAAGATTTGGGCATAATTTATCTATTTTACATTAGTCCCTCTTGGCAGTTCCTCTCAAATAGATTCTTTTGTCCTAGTGGTTTAGCCAGGATGGTGGTGATTGCAGGCACATGCTTAGTTGTTGTCGGTTTTCCAGGACCTCAGAGAGCAGTGTACAGAGCCCAGACTTGTAAGTCGTTTCTTCGTGGATGGTGACAGGTCAAGACGTCACCAGGTGTAGCAGCAAGCAGAGGTGTGGTGTTTGTCCTTGGTAGGTCACTCGGGCCATGCGTGTGCAATTATGATGGGCGATTTCCAGATGAGTTCAGATCTGTAATCCCCTTGGAACTGCAGACTGAGAGGCATCTATTTGGAAATTACATTACTGGCAGTATCAGGGTGGGGGTGGACCCAACACAGAAAAAGTCCCAAATAGCTGGTTTAGAGAAATTGATCATTTATTTCAGAGGCAATAGAGATGTTCTAACTTTAACCTTTCTTTAGTTATTAATTCTAGATCTCTCCTTAGCCATGCAGCTAAAGTGTATTTATACAGTATACACTCCCTACAGTTGTTAAATCTGTGACTACAGAGGTTAGTTTTTCACAGCATTTGGAATTGGTACGTTCTAGTTTCTTTAAATGCTGTGGCAAGACAAATTTTCTGAGATATCTCTTTGCTGGTTAAATCCTTGTGTGTGAAGTATGGAGACACTTCTTTACTCACAGTGATGTGGAACAAGCTTCATTCTGTTGTTGAAGCTAATATCTTAGTTTCCTTCAAGAAACAGCTGGATGAGATCCTTGGATCAATTAGCTAATAGCTACCAATGAGGCTAGAAGGCCCAGTGGTGTCCCTTAGTTTCTAACCATTCTTATGAATTGAAAACAGGCAGTGCTGAAGCTGTTCTCAGCCTTCCTGGCTGTCTTCCATAATTGTTTAAACAGTGCTTTTCAGAAGTCCTCTATTCCTCAATTTGTTGATTACTGTATGATTTGGACTGCAAGTTTTTAGGTACTGTGTATTACAGGCACAGCTGTTCTGAGCTGTTTAAAATGAAAACAAGCTTCTGCAATCATGTAAATCAAAAGCAAGCTGGCTTTGTCACTGCTGTGAAGTCCATGTCCTGGAGCCTTGTGTCTTAACTGAACCTTCCTCGCCTGTTCCCATGGCATGCTGGGAGTGGCAGATTGTGGCCTTGCCTTGACCAGGAGCCTTTCCCATCTCACGCTGGTGCAGAAGGGCACCAGACTGCTGGGAAGCTGTCAGCTGGGCTGTTTGTTCTGGCAGTGGCCTTCACAGTTGCTGAGACCTGGCAAGTGCACAGTCTCATTGATTTTTAAATAATTGGAACACCAGCTTTTTAAAGCGGCTCAATCATTTTAAAGCATTTAGTTTCTAGTTAGTCTGCAGTTTCAAAACCAGCCTTAAAATGTCCTTGATTGCTCTATCTTTTAATATTTATTTCTTGCAATTATTTGGATTTTCTTGTCTCTGTTGTGTCTCTCTTTGCCTTGTGTTATTTCTGTTTAGCAGGGATTCTGATCCCACAGATGGGAGCTCTACACCACTGACACCTCAGCCAAACCCAGATGCCAAATGTCTGGACCTGCAGTTCTTTTTATATGGATCAGGATTACTATATGATGTACCTTGAGATGATGTGTTGTGAAAAGTGATATATTAAATAACAATTACAAGTGTTGGGTGGTGCTGGGGGGAGTTCTTCAGTGCTGCTTCCATTTTGATTATTTAGTCCATAATCTTATGTGTGATACAAGTGAGACATATTGGTCTATATCTGGTTAAGAGTTAACATTCTTTTGTCATGGCACTGAATTAGCTATTTTCTTTACAATTAGTAGAATAGTATCTAGCGCTGGAGATCTGTTTTTATTTAGAGTTTCTAGTCCCCGTAACACTTCTGCTTCGTCTATATATCCTATATCATGATAATACCTAATATAGAATTTAGTATTTCCTCAGCCTGAAGCATGCTTTTATTTTTTTATTGTGAATATCTTTAAAAAAATATTCATTTAATGCATCTTTTATTTCCTCCTAAGAGTCTAAACATTTTCCATTTTTATCTCTGAGACACTGTCGTGCTTTACTATTCATTTACTGCTGTGATACTGAAAAAAGTATATTGTCTGTATTAGCCTCACAAAGTGATGTGGTCACTGAGCGACAGCCTCACATAGTCACGTAGTGAGGTTAAATATTCCAGTATTTATTTCTGTCTCTCTTCTGGCCTTTCTAATATCCTTTTTACATATGATTGTAATTCATTATGCTCCTATTATGGTGCACTCCTTCAAAGTATACATTGTACCATATACAATTTCTTAATGGTTCTCTCACCTCTGTTTTCTTTACGCCATTTTGTTAGTTTTAAAGCAGTAGGTCAATACAGGTGTTCCCTCTTGTAGGTGTTCTCACTGTGTGATGAAGCCATGTCTGCCATTACATTTTCAACTGCCGGAATTTCTAATGGCTTTTCTCAGACTATGTGAGGTAAATTAAAATCTCCCATGATGACAACTCATGGACATTTTGAAATCAGTAATTGGAATGATTTGAAGGGATGTGTCAATATATTGGCTAAAACAGATTTACGTCAAAGTTGTAATTTAAAGATTAACTGTGTATGTTTGGAATATGTTACCTTTGGGTTAGAAATGGAATTTAAATAAGTGGAATGGTGGTTAATACTTTGGATTCATAACTAGAAGGCTGTGGGTTCAAATCCCCCAAATCCTGGAGGGAGACACTACCACTTCATCAACAAATTTCACTCAGACTCCTGTAGTAAAATATCCAGCAGTATTCATGAGTACAAGGGTATGATGCTTCAAATAAAGGTGGAGGCCAAATAAATAAGTAGTGATGCTTCTGTAAGATGGCTTTTTTAAGTTTTTTCTTTTTTTATTTTAATAGGCCCTACTTAATTAAAAAAAAAAAACGTTTTCCAGTTTCTATAGCAAATACCAAACTTTTGTTTCTGAAAAGGTCATTTAAATGAGTAAGGGTTTTTGGAGAAAGTAGCCATTCATCCATGTGAAGCTGCTTAATCTCAGTTTTAAAAAGAAAAACACACCATCGACAAAAATAATATCTGTTTCTTCCAGCTGGGTAAACAGGATTCCCCAGTAAACCAAATAACGGCTTATGCAAAATCCTTTGTGACAGTGGGGATCGTGCTGCAAATGGGCCCAAATGAATCAACTCTAAACCCAGCTAAATCTTTAAAGAAACAGATTTGTCTTAGATGACAAAAAGCGATTTTCCCTTTTTTTACTGTGCAACAATTAATAAACTACAACCCCCACAACTTCCCTCTCTGTGTCTTCATCTCCCCTGAATGTTTTGAGTATTAACAGTCTTGTTTTATATACTAGTTTTCTCAATTTCCACCTGTAACCCCGGGCACGTTATTTATCTTCTGCATTTTGTCATGCACAGTTGTTCTGCTGTAAAGATGCCTCGACACATTTGAGGATATATGCACAAATAAGTTCCTTTTTAGAGGCTATGGCAGGTTTTTAAGGTGCAAAAAATGTAATTTTAAAATTCTTACCATATTTAATCATGACAAATTAGAAAAGTGCAGGAGTGCAATCTGCTTGTCCAGCTCATGCGTGAGATTAGTATGAGGTCACATCGTCACTATTGTTTCAACTATTTTATAGTATTTTAATTCCTTTTTAACATATAACATAGGTACTTCTAAATGTAGACAGTTTACACAGGGAGCCTGTATGTCAAATATTACAGTTTATCCAGGTAGAAATCCTTTATAAATCTTATTTCACTAAGTTCACTAAGTCTCAGGCTGGCTTTGAAAAATGTTTTCAGAGCAGTACATTGATTTTGAAGCATGGAGAAATGGGGCAGTGGAAGACAGTTTACCTCACAGTGGGAGTTTCCTCTGGCGCAAGAGGAATGACAGAAGGTGTTTCTCATGGACCTGCCAAGGCAAACCTCCCTTCCTAGAGGGACCTGGTTGTCAGCAGGTGTCATGGATTTCTCCCCCTTGAAGATGCAAGATACTAGGATAGCATGACACCTCCCTGAAACAGCAGCACCACCGTCCTGTCTCTGGCTGCACAGCTGGAGTCTTGGCCAGAGTGCTGAAGAGAAAAGTGGAAGAATGAGAGAAAGCCCTCTTCAGAGAATAGGAAGCCTTTCTTAGTAGTGGGAGTGGGAGTGTGGAAGTAGCTAACTTGAAACCTTGCTTCTTCAGCAGGCACAAGGCGGGATACACTCTTTATGGGATGCCACCAGAATCTAGATGATTGCTTTAAATTAGGAGTGGTCAAATAAACAGTGGCCCTAGTACAGATCCCTGTGGTATTCCATTAATGACATATTATGTTACCCCAAATTTGAGCATTCATCCTTATCTGTAGTTTCTGCTTTCTCTTATCCAATTCTCAATTCAAACATGCCACGTTTTCCTGAATTTTTTTTATAGTGCCTAAAAAAGCATTTTCAATTATTTTGAATCTTTTACTTGCTGACATATATTAGAATGTTGCTCTTTGAGAAAGTACTCATACAAATTGAAAAGGTGCAGTACTACTGTATGTGCAAGTTCAATGATAGTGACTTGGTTTGTTATATACTTGCAGTTATAGTCACTGCTGTATTGAGTTTCTTTTCAGGCCCTTGGTAAAATCACAGTCTAGAGCTGTATGACTAGTAATACGATTGGTTAGGAAATGCTGGACTCCTGAGCTGTTTTGTAATTATAGGTTGTGTTCTATTGTTTGAATTTTCGGTTTCCTAATGCTGGTGGTTTCTCCTTGAAAGTGTTTTGACTTTCCACCGAATATGAACGCAGTGTCCTTTACTTTTCTGTGGTTTCAGGAGGTGTGGGCTTTCTCGTACACATGCTAGTAATGTCAACTCTTCGGGGTCATTGGGGAAATTAGAGGCGTAGGTGTGGGAGCCTTGCTAAATTTGGGCCTTCCCTTCTGGAGGAGGGAATGCAGCACAGCTGCTAAAACCACAGCTGTGCAGGCTGCAGGACAGCTCTGCCTGTGTTCTCAGACATCCCAGCTCTGTGGGAGTATCGAATTATAGCTGCGCTTGTGAACTGGTACTTCAGATCAAGTTTTTGACCGTTGGTGAGGATTAAGATGCCTATGAGAAGATCTGACTAAGGTATTTAAGATGCCTAGTTAATAAACAGAAGCAGAAAGTTCAGCATGCAGAATGTGAGCACATACCTGTGGCAACTTTTTACTAGTCAATTGGAGGAGATGACACAAGTATTTTTGAAAGCTTTCAGTACTGTATGCTTCTTTGTGTCCAGGGAAAGGTGAGCCCTGAAGGGCTGAATCACCCATTCTTGTCTTTCTTAACAAGGATGAATGAAGCATCTGGGCAGTTATGTGTTGATTTTCCAGGCCTTTCCAAGCCCAGTCCTATTGTTTGAGTAATTTGTCTGATCAAACAAGGTTTCAGTCAATTCATTCAGATTAGAAAAATAGAGGTAAAATGTGGGATTTTGTAGAGTAAGGTTCCTCTGTCACTGATGCATAGCACTTACATTGAATACACTGGAAACTGTGGTGTGGAGAAGTGGTCTGGGTTCTGGACTTATAATTGGAAGGTTCTTCTTTGTGAGATGCTGCTGTTGTACCCTTGACCAAGGTACCTTACCTCAATTGTTTCAGCTACTCTATATACAGTAGATGGGTACAAATGTAAGTTGTTTTGAATAAACATATAGACCAAATAAAGCAGTTACAGCTGCTTGGATGTTTTGAGTCTAATATAGAAGGAAAATCACAGGAGATTACCATTACAGGTGTTACTAGTCCTTATTGTAAACACTTAAGGACGTAATTTTTCTGGAGTGCTTTATAAATGTCTTTTTCAGCTCTGTCTCGCTGAGCTGCTGTGGCCCTGCTATGGACATTAGCTTTTTATTGTGTGGAAGAAATAGAGATATGGTGACTGCCCTGCATGGTTGTGCTCACCTTGGATTGTGAAAAGATGCAACTTTATATGGTGTCTGAGACTTTTCTTCCACACTCCTCAGTGTCACGCCCTCTGCAGCCAGAGGGTGCTCCTTCTCTGTCCTGTCCCTAGTTTCCGGTCTGCTGTCCTTCCTGTCCCTCTCTTTCCCTTGGGCTATATATTTCCGGGTCTTGCACTCTGTCCTCGCTCAGCATTGATGTTCGGATGTCCTGAGACCCGCCTAGCACCAGGGTGCCCCACGTCCGCTCCCTGAGGGCATAGGTTTCTATACGGCATTCCTGAACTCTTTGCACTAATGAGCCCGGGCCTTTTTCCCGTCTCGCCGCTACGCATATGGGTCTTTTTCTGCTCTCCTGCTCCCCACGGTTAGTCCCTTTGGACGTCCGTGACACTCAGAAGGTAGTGAAGATAGAGCTCGGTGATTTTAGGGACTTCAGAAAATGGGGAGTGCCGCTATCCCTGCTTGTGTCTGGTGCAAGGGTGCTGCAGATTGGCTCTGACGTGTGCTGTGCTGTGTTGGTCAGGGTGGACTCCATCATGCTGGTGGAGGAGGGCTTCAAGGTGATGAGTGTGGACGCCAGTGACAAGATGCTGAAGTACGCCCTGAAGGCCCGGTGGGAGAGGAGGAAAGAAGAATCCTTCGACCAGTGGGGTAAGGGGTCCTGGGGTCTGTCATTCTGGTGGGTGGTGGGGCTTAAGTGATTTTAAACAGGGTAAGACAACAGCGTGATTTGATGTCCCCATGTCCTTATAAGGACATAAGAAAGGTTACAAACGGGAGTCTAGCCTGGTTGGTGGTTGTAAATGGATCCCAGGGTCTCATCTAGTCATTTCTTGAAGAAGTCAGGATATCAGCTTCAGCAATGTGGCTGGGTAGTTTATTCCATACTCACTTTGTGTTAAAATGTGCTTCCTGTCCTGATTGGAGGATGTCATGCTGCTGTTTTCTTTAGCAACAGCTGGGTAGTTTGTTCCACACTCCCACAACCCATTGGGTAAAGACGTTATTCCTTCCACAACTTGCTGGTTGTGAGAGTGCTCAGAGGATAGTATATATAGGAGAAACCTTTAATGTTCTAAAGCAGGATTCTCAAATCTTGTTGCTGGACAGCCCATTGTCATCTGGTTTCAGTTCCTCCCACATTTTCAGTTAGCCAGTCTAATAATCTGATTGTAATAATTTTAACCTAAATTGAGGTAATTTCTAGCTTTAATGAAGTGCATGTTTTGTGCAATGATCTGTCTTGCACAATGAATCATTAAATACATTTTACATATGTGTAATTTAGAAAATCATAAGATTAATGGCTTAATTGACTACTCAGGTTGGAACAAAAACCAGAAGATCCTCCAGAGCTCCTGAAACCTCAATAAAACCAGAGGTTACTGTCACGGCCGCCGGTCCAGGCTCCCATGAAGCATAGTTTAGGACCCTATGCAGACGGTATAATCGGGAAGTGACTGGAATAAGACTTCAAGGGAAACACAGCAGGAGCAGGACGTTATGACAGACAGGGGGGCGTGATGGCTGGGATCGGGTGCTCAGGGGGCGTGGTGCAGGCGAACAAGTCCTGAGGTAGTCCAAAGGGGAAACAGGGGCGCAGTCCAGGGTCCAGGAGCCGGGAGATCCAATCCGAGACAGACGAGATTAAAACCGAAACTGCATCTGGAATAGAAACAGGGACGGAACCAGAAGGAAAAAAACAGTAATGAGGCCAGGTGCTCCGAGCCCCGGACTCAGCAGGTCAGGATGCCTTGATGAAGTCTATGCCATTGGGTCTCTCCTGGACCAACTGGTAGGTGTGCTTCCTGACGTCCATCTTACAATGCAGAACAGGGAATAGCGGGAGCGCCGGGCTTTAAATAATAACAAGGAAAACAAGGGACAGGTGCACATAATGAACTTAAATAGGAAAAGGTCGGAGTGCCCTTAAGATGAGGGATGACAATAGAGACAGTTACCTTGTAGTCTGTTTTTAGTCACTTTTTGGGGTTTGCCTTGTTCTTCTCTGTGCAGTGATCGAGGAGGCAAACTGGTTGTCTCTCCCTGATGATGTGGAAGTGCCAGGAAATGGGTTTGACGCTGTCATCTGCTTGGGAAACTCTTTTGCTCACTTGCCAGATTTCAAAGGTGAGTCCGAGAGGCAGGTGTTTGAAGTGAAGCTGGATTGGGGATTTTGCAGGTCTTCACAAGTGGCCAGTACACCTCAGTTTGCTTAATTCTTCACCCATGTATCTCTATGCACAGTGATCCATAAAGAAATGAATTAGATAGCCTTGACACAAAACTTACTTGTACTGTCATGCTATAAAGTAAAAAGTATAACACTTCTAGTAATATGTTTCTAGTTTTGTCTTCTTACATAATGACATGTACAGTAAAACCTCAGTTTAATGTGCTGTTAGGAGGAAAGAGAAGTTCCTTATTGTTTACTAATACTATATAAACTTACTACACAAAAACACCCATTAAAAGTAATTGTCGGACATCACTGATTTTCCTGAATTTTAAACCTGTTTAGTATTTATTTTTGCCTTGTTTCATTATTTGTGCATTTCATTGGTACTTTCTTGCAAGGAGTAAGTCCTGTTGGTGTTTCTGATTTTACAGACAAAATTCCGCTTGCACAGATTTTGTTAATTAAATTTGAGGTCTGTTAAGGTGAAGTCCAGTGTTACCCCAACTCCATGTTACAATTTTGTTCAAGATTAGTTTTCAAAATTGCTCAGAAATGAAACAAAAGCTATACTCACTGTTATTTGATGTTAGTAGACTGAAAAGCTCTTTCCTCCTCAGGTCAGAAGGTCATAAGGTGTCTTTCTAGGAATTAAACAAAGACTTGCCTTTACCTTCTGAGCCCTGACATGATAAGCAAATTCTTAAGGGTGGCTTTATCTTCAGACTACCAGTCACCAGCAGCAGATAATCAGAACAAGAATAAAAAATAAGTCTGTGTTTTGATAATCATTTTCTCGCACAAAGTGTTTTTCCTCTCAAAGGTTCAAAGACTGTTTTGCATATAGGATGGGACCCACTCCTTCCACCACCGAAGGTGGTGCCCACACGGGTGACTCACAGCAGATCTCCTGTTCCGGCAGCCCCCACTCCAATGGAAATGAGACACTCCAGGACTAATGGCCCAACTCTCTTGAACAGCACCACAAGATCTTTAATGACCAATGACCAATAAGCAAGAGTACCACCTAGTGGTATATTAAGACCCTTTAGATCGGCAACATGTTGATTCTTTAAGGTCTTGCAAACCCAGCCCAGCCTCTCTTAGCCTATGAGATCTGACAAGATCCACACACAAGGTGGATTGGTCGCTGTTACAGCAGCAGCTGTTGAACTGCTTTATAAACCTGTACAGCATTTGGCAGCAAAGTGTTCCAAAGGGCAGTATAGCAAATCAATTGATTGATTGTTCCATAATGTCCCTAACATATTCCCCCGGACTTGCTTGTAATTCTGTTAGGGGACCAGAGTGACCAGAAACTGGCACTGAAGAACATTGCAAGCATGGTGAAGCCTGGGGGGATCCTCATCATCGACCACAGGAACTACGACTACATCCTGGAAACAGGAAAGGCCCCGCAGGGCAAGAACACCTACTACAAGGTAACCAGCTGGGTCTCCTGGAGTTCTGTCCTGGACATTTGTCAATTGTCACTACGATTAGAGTTGCAAAAAATGTTTGAAAATGCTCTTTCCAGAGCACCAGTGAGTGTTGTAATTGTAATGTGGCAGGTTATGGTATTGGATGTGTTTTTCCACCAAAAAGTTCAGAGGTTACAGCTGTTAATCACAAATGTGGCAATAAGGCTTGACATTTTCACCCTTTTGCACATCTTTACACCTTGATGGACAGGTATACGACTAAGTTTGTGGTCCCTGCATGTTTTTGCATACAGTAGCTTCTAAGATCATGCATCATGAAATGGCCATGGTACTGTACTGTACAGTATGTAGAGATCTCCTGAATCATTCAAGAGAGGAAGGCAAGTCTAGCTTACCAATCACAAAGCAAGAAATAGAATCCTAATGCATTTCTTAAAACAGGCGCCTATATAGCTGAATAAGTATGTTACAGTGCTAAATCAGCTCATTGCATCAATAAGGACGTTGAAATTTGAAGTAAAGTCTTTCTCTGCAGTCAAGAACATAAGAACAGTTACAGATCAGAGGAGGCTATTCAGTCCATCCAACCTATTTGGTAGTTAGTAGTTTATTTATACTTGTACCAGATGCTAGGACAACTAGGAGTAACACAGAAGTTGATCCTGCTAGTAAACATGACCATGACCAAAACAAGTGGTTAGGTGAAGGTGCAGAACCAGGTATTGGTCGAGTTTCAGGTGAGACAAGGCCTTAGACAAGGAGATGCGCTCTTGTTTCTACTATTCAACTTGGTTCTAGAATGAGTGATACAGAACATCGATATCAACAGAGAAGGAACATTACTGAATAGATTGGGACAGTATTTAGCCTATGCGGATGACGTCGATTTGTTGGCTAAGAGCGTCCGGACACTTAAAACTTTATTCAGCCGGAAGAAGCGTCGACCAGGTCTGGGCTGTCCATCAATATGGAAAAGACCAAATACATGGCGATGACCAGGAAGGGCGCCATCACCGGCGATGTGCCGCTCGAAATTCAGGGCTGCCAGTTCTTTTAAATACCTGGGTTCGCTGATCTCTGAGAAAAATTAAATCAACCTGGAAATTGGAGAGAGCATCAATGCAGGAAATCAATACTACTTTAGTGTGCAGGACCCGATGAAGACCAGTTTTATCAAGAAGAATAAAGAAGGTGATATATTGGACCATTATCCGCCCTGTGGTTACCTACACAGCGGAGACATGGGTGCTGACAAAATGAGATGCAGGACTCCTTAACAAGTGGGAGAGAAAGATCCCCCGAAAGATCTACGGGTCAGTCGAGGAAGGAGAAGAGTGGCGAATAAGAACGAATGTTGAGCTCTACGAGCTGTATGAGGATCCCCCAGTAAGGTGAATAAGAGCCTAAGAGGAGGTAAGAGTGGCACGACTACTTTGGCTTGGCCATCTAGAGTGAATGGACGATGCCAGAAGTATCTCCTGTTCTTGGTTTCAGACACACTTTCACGTTTTTTCCATTTGTCACCTCATGGATTGCGTTTCACCATTGATTGTGAAAAAGTTCACTGGGTGACCTTTGTCTCAGCTTTTGAGGAGCTTGAATATTTGTACCAGGCCCCCTTATGGTCTTCTCTGTTGAAGACTAAGGAGGTTCGGTTCCTTCATTTTGTCGAGGTGTGTTTCTAAGTATATCTGTAATTGATATTTTAGTGGCAAGGTGAATATGAGAATTTAATCCAGCCATTTCTTGAAGGAGCCATTCCCAGACCCATCCCTTTCCTAGCTGCTTCATGCAATACGGGGTCTTATGGGAGCCAGAGCCTAACCCAGCAAGCAAAAGACGCAAGACAGGAAAAAGCCCGTATGAGACGCCTGTCCATCAGAGGACACACACACAGAGCCTGCTTTCTTCGGAGCCAGTTAACCTGCTAGTATATCTTTGGACTGTGGGAGGAAACTCATGTGAACACAGTGAGAATATTCAAACTCAGAAAGCACCTCAGTTCCAGAAATGAACCCAGGACCCCAGAGCTATAATGCTAACCACTGCAACACTAGCCACCATTGAAAGAAGGAGTCCAGCCTTCAAAATAAAGTGATTCTCTATAATCTCTATAATTATTGAATGATTGGATGCGTTTTCTGAAAGGCATCCACTTCCCTTGACTGCCTTCTGATTAAACACATGCACTCCTGCCAAAGGACGTAGGTGTAGAGAGCCGTGCTCCGGGCAGGCTGCAGTTTCAGATGCAGTTTCATGTACCGATGGGCCGCGCCGAGGAAGGAAAGCCATCTGTTCTTAAATCCACATCAGGTTTCAGAATACATTTGCAGTAAAAGCAATGAGTATGATCTCAGTTTTAAGTATATGCTTTTAAAAAAGAAATGTGGAACTATTTCAATTGTTTTTTATTGTAAGGAGATTTTTCAAAAGATACAAAATCAGCAGTTCCAGTTTCAGCTATAACAATTGATCAGTTCCTGGCTTTGGGAGTTTCAGGCTCAGGTGCAGATTCTAGTCATGGATAATGCTGTTTTATTGTCATATATGTTTCTTTTACTCAATATAAAGTAAGCAGCCTGAAAGCACTCACTTCCTGGAGATTCCTGTTTGATATCCTGGAGTAAATCTTCACCTGGAGGTCTCAGCAGACTGAAGGAAACTGTTCTCCTCCTGTGTTTCAGAGTGATCTGACTCAGGACATCACCACCTCTGTGCTGTGGGTGAACAGCAAGCCCCACATGGTCACACTGGACTACACAGTGCAGGTGCCCCAACCTCAGGGCCAGCAGAGCACACCTGAGCTCAGGTACTGGCCACAATGGACAAGTGTAAAAGGTTAATATTCCCCTGGGGAAAGCTGAAGGAGAGGGTAGTTCTCCTACTGTTTGCCAATAGATTTCTAATAAGAATAGCAGTTTCCCTTTTCCTTAAGTGTTGCTCAAAGCTGCCGAACACATTCATGACTTATTTAAGGTCAATTGTCAGTATTTTATACTTAAAGAATTTACAGTATAAATGGGATACTTCTCAAAGAGACTTAATACTTTCTCTAAAAGTTCTCAGGTGATGCAGTGCTGTGTTCGAATTAGGAAGTGAAGTCAACTTGAAGCTGTTGTTGCGCTATAGCGAAAATAAAATAAACAAGCATAGGAATCTCCATTCTCTAATAAACAAGAAAATACATGTTTATATGTTTTTGTATACATAATATTGCACTATACATACTGTATATAGTATCTGTGTCAGAGCTATTATAATACAATAATTGAATTTGAAATTGGTCTAGGAGGTTTGATTTTTATATCCAAATGTAGCTAACAAATATTCATTTCATAGTTGTAAGATGTAGTTTTTAAAGTGTGTACTGCATTTGTATCACAGACACACAGAAAGGTCCTTTCTTTTCATGGTTAAACCCAAACACGCTGATTAGTGATAGAGTTGTCTAACCGAATCAGCCTAATAATGATCAATTATTCACTAGAATAAAATCAAGAAAAGAAAAAAAAAATCTAGAGGTTTTAGTGTACTGTTTTCTTAGGGCCTTCATTCTTATCTGTATCCCTGACGGTTCGATAACTGATACTAGTGATACATCCTATTGATACATCCATCTTTATCTTATAGTCTCACAGCGCACCAGGGACCCTGTCATCCTGTGGTAAAGGTGTGTCTTCTCCTGCGGACTAGTCAGGGTTAATAAAAGATGAGGTGATGCCACTGTCTCTGAGTTTGTGTTTTATTTCTCCAGAACCAAAGAATACTGGGTGAGAGTGGTGTCCCTGGTCGTACAGTTTGATTAAAAATAATAATTTCCAAAATTCAGGTTGATACAATAAGAAGGATAATAATAACTGGAGATTATTTTTTAAGAGGAGGGTTGTGAGTAAGGGTTTCACTTGTTCTGCCTCTCCTGTGAGATGCTGTCTTTTTCATTTTCTCCTTCCAGCAAATTCCGACTGTCCTACTACCCCCACTGCCTTGACAACTTCAAGCAGCTGCTGATGGAGGCGTTCGGCAGGAAGTGTGAGCATAGCGTCTTCGGAGACTTCATGGCCTACAGCCCCGGGCAAAGTCATGTGCCCTGCTACTTCATCCATGTGGTCAGAAAAACAGCTTAGGCCTGCTTCTGCTGGGCCTGCTGCTGACATCAGGGCAGAGAGCTTCATTTCTCTCTCTCTCTTTCTCTGTCTTGCTCTCCCTTTTACTGTACTTTCTGTCTCTGCTCTTCCTTCGTTCACCAGCTTGTCGGGGCTGGTCTAAGAACTAAGTAATTATCTGTCTCTTAATTGTCCCGAGATACACGCACATGGCAGCAGAGCTCTGTGGATGGGGGAATTTGCCATCGTGTCCTGTCAGCCTCTTCAGGGCTTACTGTGTGGGTTGAAAGCCTCTGCACAAGCTGTTTTTAACAGCTCGCTTCTGTAGACGCGCCACTGCCAAAGAACATGAAAACAGTGCATTTGAATTCACGGGCAAGATAGCCTGACTTCTGTAATCTTTTATTTTGGTGTTAACTAAAATATGCTCACAAAAAATTGACAAATAGCAGCTGTTCAAACTATACTATATACTGTCTAACTTGTTTTAAACCTGTTACTTGTTACATATTCTAATTTTAACACATTGCTCCAGGCTTATTAGGATGGAATGTAAGTAGAAAACACTGTACCTGAATTTGATACGGTATATCTAGCACTCAGTAGAAAAGCTCCAAGCATTTCAAGGTACTATTAAAGCATACCATATGGGGAGAGAGGTTGATCGTTTGGTAATTCCATTAATTGGAAGTATTTCTACGTGTTCTAACAACCAGCTGATGGTTAAGTGCATTTCCCAAATTTGTTCAGATAGCATTTCAAAATTATTTAAAGAGCATGAAAAGATGTATCACAGTTTTACTGCTACTGGGAAGGCTTCATAGCTCTGGAGTCCTGAGTGTCATTCCTTCTTCATGGAGTTTGCATGCGTTCCCTGTGTTCAAGGGGGTTTTATCCAAGGGCTCCAGTTATCCAACTAGCTTGTATGCCTTTGGACTGAGGAAAAGAACCAGAGTTCCTTGTAGACACTCACACATCCACAGGGAGAGCGCACAAGCTCCACGCAGAAGGCTCCTCAGGCCAGGATGGAACCCATGACAAGAAATTCAAGTCAGCATTTCAAACCACCATGCTGCTGTGCCAACTGAGACCTGAAGTGACATATTCAAAAACGTTTTTGTTCAGTTTTTACCATGTTAAAATGTTATGATGTTACTCATTACTCAAGTTCCAAAGCAATATATATTGATTGGTTTAGTTAAAGTTGTACATGAATGTAGGCGGTACCATAGCATACAAGAAACAAAATTTTACATATACAGTATCCTTCTGTTTTTACTTACTCAGGAAAAGGTTTCAGTAAAACAAATATTGTTACTGAAATAAAATTTCATTCACACTTCCACACTCTGAGACTCACTGCAGAGTGGCATTTCATAATTGTTTAGAGAAAAAAATAAAATTGAACTGTGATTTGATTGATTGTCTTGGTTTAGATCTATAAAAGTACATAGCAAAATAGGAGAACTCAGATCTGTATTGAAATATTTCTTTTGATGGAGAGCTTTACATTTTTGGAGCTTCAGATAAGCAGTATGAGATCATGTGAAAGGATAGTTACATTGTCTAATTACAAATAAGATACACTATGAGTCTGACAGGTACAGTAAGTGATGCTTTTGGTGAGAAAAATGATGATCTAGCTGCAGTGAAAGTAGTGCTGCCACCTTCTGTCTGTTTACATTTCTGTTCCATTTTCTGAGACGATGCTTAACATCTGTATTTCTGACTTTTGAGAATCTCTAGAGTGTTATAGCTGTAAACAAAGGGCACTGCTGTTGCGCTGAGCTTGGCATTTTCCAGCATGAATCTTAGTAGAAGTTTGACATACATTTCTCCTCCCACTTACATTGCACTTAGTGGCTATTCTCTCTCAAGTCCCTTGCCCAGTGAAACATTCTAGCTGCGTTATCCAAATAATTTCAGTCTGTTTTTTTCCTTAAATGTTTAATTCTTTGTAACAAAGTCCAATGACTTCTGACAGCACAAAAGTCCAACAGAACTTCTAACTGTCATTTGTAAGCAGTACTTACAGTACTTCACTTACAGTGAACAGCTGTATTCTGCAACACGCAAAACTGAGTGAAATATTCAACTTGCCATTCCAGCTGTTCATTGTGGGCTATCCTGCCACCTGCAGGAAGCTGAAAGGAACTTTCAGTACAGTAGTTATTTTTATTGGAGGTGTTGAAATATTTTAGGGGAGTTCTGAGTTACAATTGTTACAGTCACCACAATACTGTCGAAAAAGTTATTTAATGTGAGATATTCATTTTTTCCTTCCTTCATTCAATTTTATTTTTAAAATGCATTTACTCCACATGTTTGAAAGTACTATGTTACAAATAAGATGGCATGCTTTGTTGAAAAATCTTAATGACCTGTTTACAATGTTTGAATCAGTGTGGTTAATCCTGTATTTGACTTGAATGTACAGAATGTACCCTTTTTGGCTCTTGTTAATTCATGTATGTAGAGAACAATAAACTGACTTTCCAATTTCACTGCAGTAGGTGTCTGCCTGTCTTTTTGATTGGGATTTGGTCCTCCATTAAATACCCTTAGAAAATATTTTGCTTTTTCAACTGCTTTGAAAACCATTGTCCTAATTCTACTGCATGGGAGCTCACTTATTCTTAAAAGTTTATTATCCCGTGCCTAAAACTAATAAGCATTTTTTCTATGTTCATAGTAAGTCTGTTAGGTGATGTAATCACATCACTGAGCGATTCTGGATTTGTCTAATTTTATTTCTGTTCTCAAGGTAAAGCCAAATTGTGTTTTTCTTCAACTTAATGATCATGAAGACATTGAAGGTCTGGAAGAAGCTACCCAGTCATGTTATTGACTCAGATAGCCTGGCTTCTTTTCAAGAGATGGCTGGATGAAATCCTTCTGTCAGGACAAGAGACATGGGTTGTGGAAGTGTGGAACAAGCTACCCAGTTAGGTTGTTGAAGTCAATACTCTGGTTCCTTAAAAAACATTGGATAAGATCCTGCAATCAGGATAGGAGGCACTGCTTTATGTGAAGGTTTGTTGGAACAGAGGTCCCAGCTGTGCTATCCTGGCTTCTTTAAAAAAAAAACAGCAGGTTAACTTCATTGGATTAATAAAGCTACTAACAACCATTTGGGCTGAATGCGCTCTTCCTCTCGTTTGCAGCTGTTCTTGTGTTCTAAAATAGATATTTAGTGAAGAAGAGAAATCACTGTGCAGATCAAAGGAAGATATCTAATGGTGCTTTTGTTTAGAATTTTCTTAAAATGTTCTTAATGAGGTTATGTTTTCTATGTAAAATATTGTAACACAACAGGGGCTCAGGCGGGCGCCCTTGCCGCATTAGGTCAGCCCCCCACCGTCAGGGGCTCGAACCCGGGACTCCCGCGTCACTCAGCAGGGACCCAGCCCGGTGAGCCAAAGAGAGATCTCTCCTACAGCCCAGTAGCTGTAGTCCTGCTGTCACAGGGAAGGGCAATGACGTCCCCTGCTCTGATACGCTGGCTCTTACACAGTGCCTGTCGTAAGCGTTACAATATGTTTTTCTGTGTAATGGCAATGAGGAAAGTCTGGTCTTACAATAGATTAGGTCTTTGTGGGGAACTAACTAATATGGCATTAGCATTTGGTTAATTGAACAAGAACATCTTAAAACTTCAGAGAAAGGAATCCCAGGAATACCACTGCTATCCAAATTATAGTTAGACATTATTCCTAAAAATTGTCATTTTTATGATTTTTCTGGCAATTTGCAGTTTTGTAAGAAAAAGGGTTACAAATACAAGAACGTCTTTGGATTGAAACATAATGGACACAAAAACCATACATGACTGCCTCTTGAAGGGTCACTGGGAACTCCCGTGTTTTCAGGCTGAAATCTGCTCATCATTTTTATTTAACCACTTTCGTACGCTTTTCCTTTCTCAAAATACAATGAGAATTTAAAACTGAACTATCAAAATATTACAAGAGATTAATCTTGTACTGTAAGCTATATATTACCTGGGTCTAACAGAAACAAAAAAAAAATGCCAGATTGCCTGTCTTTGTGGAATAAGTGTTAACAGGGCATTTATGCCAAAAAGTATATCCTTAAGCACAGAGGACACTATACAGTTCTTTATACACATACATTAGGGTTACCAAAGTCTAGTGAGATCTTGTCAGGTCTCAGAAGCTCAGTCATGTCAGCACTGGTCAGTACTGGGAAGGAGAACTCTAAGGAAAATCAGGTTACTGCAGCATGTGGTGTAGGAAAACCAGTAGGTGGAGCTCTTCCCTATGGACTACAATTTCACACTTGAAAGTTGGTCAGTGCTAGGATCGGAGGACTTCAAGGAAAACCAGGGTGCTGCTGTGAGTAGTGTTGGTGGAACAGTAGATGGCGCTCCTACCTTTGGACTAGAATTTCCAATCCAGTGACCCAGTATGGTGACCAGTGTGCTTTAGAGGCACTATCCTTCAGATGAGACAGCAAACCAAGGTCCTGACCACTTGATAATTACAGGGCCCATGGTACTGCTCATAATAATAGGGGTGTTCTGTAACTCTGGGCATGTACACTCTGGCTTCCTTGAAGTTCCTCCTGCATTCAATTTGTGAAGGAATTTCTCATTTCTTTGCCTGGTCTGCTGTGCAGTAGGGTTGCTGGTGCAGAACGGTGTTGTGTTTCTCCAGGTGGGGCTGCTGGTGCAGAATGATGCTGTGTGTCTCCCAGGTGGAGATGGTAATCAGTTCCTTTCCCTTGGTAAAGTGCGTATATCCCTTGTAGTGATTAGCACTATATACAGTATGAATGCAATTAATTAATGCAATAAATTCCACTAATAATAAATACTTCTTTGAAATACCATACAAAACGAACTGGTAATTTAATTTACAGTGCCTATAGAAAGTCTTCCTGAAGATAGCATAGACAGGAAAGAAATTTGGAGAGAAATGGAAAAATCAGGAATCCCAGAGAAACTGAAAAGACTTACAAAAAAGTGTTGATGGATCAAGATGGAGAGTAAGAGTAAATGGGCGACTATGAGACATGTTTGAGGTAAAGACTGGCGTCAAACAAGGAGATTGCCTGTCCCCATTGTTATTCAGTTTAGTGTTAGAAAGAGCCATAAAGGAAAGTCGCAGAAATGGAAACAGGAATTAAGTTGCAGAAAGATCAATATTTTAGATCAGGTAGTGCTCATAGCTCAAATCAAACAAGAATCGAGAGGCATGAGGGTTGTAGTGAAGGAGGCCGAAGGAGTGGGTCTAGAGATCAATATTGAGAAAACGAAATACCTCCCTGTAAGTAGATGAGGAAATACAAATGCGTCTCTGGAAGTAGAGGGAATTTCCTTCAGGAAAGTGGAAGATTTTAAGTATTTGGCAGGAGTGGTTCAAAAGGAAAATAGTAAAGAGGAAGAAATTCTATCAAGGATTCAGGCTGGAAGTAGATCAAGATTCGCTATGGGGAAAATGATTAAGTCAAAACTGCTGTCAAGACCAACCAAAACAAGGATATACAAGTAGGTATTCCAGTCAGTTGTACTGTATGGGGCAGAGCTTTGGACTCTCACTAAAAAGATGGAGAGTAAACTCATGGGTTTGAAAACAATGTCTTACCACAGATTTTTGGACCAGTGAAAGAAAATGGAGAATGGAGAAGAAGGAAAAACAAAGAATTAAGAGAGCTTAATAAGGACCCTGATATTGTTGCTACTGTCAAAGGAAGAAGACTGTGGTGGTCTATCCATGTAATGAGAATAGATCAAGACCTAATAAAAGAGTTGGTAGGAGAGAATATTGAGGGAAAGAGGCCACAGAGAAGACCTAGTACAAGATGGCCTGACTCAGTGAAAGAAGATGCAGACAAGGAGGAAATTGATGTACTGTAGATCCCTGGTGAGATAGGATGTGATGGAGGAGGCTAGTGGGCGAGGCAATGGACTGGCTTCGTTTCGAGACACCACCTCAGTAACTAAGTATCGAAAGTCTACACACCCTTTCCAAAGTAACACATTTTGTGGCTCATCAGCCTGAAATCAAGATACATTAAATTAGAATTTATTTTACCTCATTTATGTTACTTTGAAAAGGGTGTGTAGACCTTTTATAGGCGCTGTGCATAACGAAGTAAACAAGTTGAAAGAAGAGATTTGTAGTACTGAATACCAGACAGCTCTTGTACACAGCATAAATTCTGACTATCTTTCAGTAGGTAAACCTGAAACCTGCAGGTATGAAACCCTACTTTCTCTTGCACAGGGAAAAACATATGCGAATATCGAAATGGATCCATGGAAATCCCATTTCTGACTGTAATTATTTTTTGATCCCTCCAGTAGTTAGAGATGTTTTAACATTCAGCAGTTTGAAATTCTAAGAATGCATCTGATTCCCTGAGGGTGAAGTACTGTTACTGAATAAAAAGAACAGGGACTTCGTGCCAGACCATCACTTCACAAGAGCTTGTGTACGCTGGCTGAGTGCTGTGTCTCGCACATTGCCACCCTGGTTTTCCACTGGGCTATGCCCCTCACAGTCCCTGGCTCAGGGGCACTCAGGAAGGAGTCTTCATACAATTCCTGATTTTTGTAGCCTTTTCCTTTCCTGAAAAAATGGATGCTGTTCTTGTGCCAGTGCTTGAGTCCTGTTGTTAAAGGTCAGATTTTTAAGCAAAGGAGTCAAATGGGCCGGATGGCCTCTTTGTAATTTTATCACCTGGAAATCACTCATCACGTGCAGTAAACTACTACTTTGAATTCGAGATAAACTATATATAATACATACTGCAGAGTCATGATAGAAATTTCTCCAAGTTGTCCTCAATGTCAACAGTACTTCTGATAACATGAAGGGAACTTCTGAGTTGGTCTCTTTGAGCACTCTGGAAAAAACTTTGGTGGAATGAAACACGCCTAAGAATTCAGCTAATTCTGTAAGATCCAACAATAGCTGGCAGGAAGCGTGCGATGATATTGTAACAATGGTATGTATCATTCCTGGAATGTTAACAAAGAAAATGATGTTTCATGAGTGCCAACAGCAGGCATGCAGCACAAGTTGCAGCACATTGAGCTCAAACACAACTTTGGTCTTAGCATTGTTCTCTTCCAGCACATAAGACCCCCAGATTAAAGAACAATGACTTTATTATTACCAGCATCTAGACATTATACAAAATTACATGATGTACTATAGTATATAGTAGATATGGATAAAAGACATTGGTAACTCTCTCTTATATGATACTACATTGGCTTTAAGCTAAATTAAATATCTTTTGACTAATAAAACATTCAGCATTAACCATAACAATCACAATAAAACTGTCAGTGAGCACATAAAATTGACTCCAGCCTGCCATTCCCCAAGCCACAAACACAGAACCAGGAGTGTTCGTTACAAGATGAAAACAAGACCACATTGGAATGCCAATGCTGACTGGTGGGTACGTGGGCAGGGGATAGGCTCACTCACTTATTAGATTCGTCTCCCGATCCAAGTCTGTCGTGCGGCTAATTTG